CTCTCCCTCCCCTCATCCTGCACACCCCACCACCCTTCCCAGCCTCCCACCATATCTCCATTTCCTTCCACATTGGGGATATCTAGCACCTGTCATTTCACTCAGGGCAAGGTTCAGGCACTCCCCTAAGAGTCCAGGCTGATAGAGCATCCCTCTTTGTGTTATGCACACACAATGTCTGTTTGTATGCCAGGAATAAACACTGATCCACTGCTCAGGGCCCCATAGGTTACCCAGGCCTCATCACTGACACTCACATTCCGGGGAGGAGTCTGGATCAGTCTCATGCTGTCCTCCTAGCTGTCAGCCTGGGGTCCAAGAGCTCTCCCCTTTTCAGAACAGCTGTCTCCAATGGTTTTGCCAGCCCATTCTTTGCCAATTTGTTCACCGCTCCTCTCTCTCTGTCACTGGGTTCCTTGGGTTCAGTTCAGTGTTTAACTGTGGGTGTTTTCCTCTGTTTCTATCAGTCACTGGATGAAGGCTCCAGGATGGTTATAGACATCAAGTTCATTATCAGGAATGGGCATTCGAGGTGGTCTCTCCACTATTGCTTAGCTTGCCAATTGGTGTCATCCGTTTAGATCACTAGAGGTCACACTGATGCCTGATCTGTCTTCTAACCTATGATTCCTTTCCCCCCTATCCTACCCCCCACTCAACCTTCCTGTTCCCCCATGACCTACTCTCCCTTCCTCTTCTCCCCCTCTCTCCTTCCCAGCTCCCACTCTCCCCGGACCCTCGACATGTTCCCCATCTGTTCAGAGGATCTTGCCTCATTCCTCTTCTCTTGGGTACCATGCATATCTCTTAGGTCCTTTCATGTTTCCCAGACTCTCTGTCAGTGGAAGTGCAGACTGGCACTATCCTGACCCATTTCTAAAATCCATATATGAGTGAGAGCATACCATGTTTGTCTTTTTGTAACTGGGTTACCTCACTCAGGATGGTTTCTTCTAGTGCCATCCATTTGCCAGCAAATTTCAAGATTCCATTGTTTTTCTCTGCTGAGTAATACTCCATTGTGTAAATGTACCACATTTTCTGTATCCACTCTTCAGTTGATGGGCATCTAGGTTGCTTCCAGGTTCTGGCTATTACAAATAATGCTGCTATGAACATAGTCAAACAGACATCCTTGTTGTATAAATGGACATCTTTTGGATATATGCCTAAGAGTGGAATTGCTGGGTCTTGTGGTAGAATGATTCCCATTTTTCTGAGGAATTTCCATACTGATTTCCAAAGTGATTATATGAGTTGGCAGTCCCACCAGCAGTGGAGGAGTGTTTTCCTCTCTCCACATCCTCTCCAGCATAAATTGTCTTTGGTGTTTTTTATTTTAGCCATTCTGACAGGAGTAAGATGGTATCTCAAAGTTGTTTTGATTTGCATTTGCCTGATGGCTAAGGATGTTGAGCACTTCCTTAAGTGTCTCTTGGCCATTTTAACCTTCTCTATTTAGTTCTGTACTCCACCTTTTAATTGGATCCTTTGGTGTTTTGGAGACTTGCTTCTTGAGTTCTTTGTAAATTTTGGAGATTAGCCCTCTGTCAGATGTGAGGTTAGTGAATATCTTTTGCCATTCTGTGGACTGCCTTTTAGTCTTGTTGACTGTGTCCTTTGCCTTACAGAAGCTTCTTAGTTTCAGGAGGTTCCATTTGTTAATTGTCGATCTCAGGGTTTGTGCCACTGATGTTACTTTCAGGAAGTGGTCTCCTGTTGGAACTCATTGAAGAGTATCTCCCATATTCTCTTCTAAGAGTTTCAGTGTGGTTGGATTTATGTTGAGATCTTTGATCCATTTGGACTTAAGTTTTGTACAAGGTGATAAACATGGATCTATCTGCAGTCTTCTGCATACCAATACCCAGTTATGCCAGCACCATTTGTTGAAGATGCTTTCTTTTTTCCATTGTATAATTTTAGATTCTTTGTCAAAAATCAAATGTTCATAGGTATGTGGGTTTAAATCAGGGTTTTCAATTCGGTTCCATTAGTCTACCTGCCTATTTTTGTGCCAATACCAAGCTGTTTTCAGGACTATAGCTCTATAGTAGAGCTTGAAGTCAGCTATGGTGATGTCTCCTGAAGTTCCTTTATTGTATAGGGTTGTTTGGGCTATCCTTGTCCTTTTGTTTTTCCACATGAAGTTGATTATTGTTCTTTCAAAGTCTGTGAAGATTTGTGTCAGAATTTTGACAGGGATTGCATTGAATCTATAGACTGCTTTTGGCAAGATTGCCATTCTTATTATGCTGATCCTACCAATCGAAAGAGCATGGGAGATATTTCCATTTTCTGGTGTCCTCTTTGATTTCTTTCTTTAAAGACTCAACATTCTTGATATACATGTCTTTCACTTCTTTGGTTAACATTATCCCCAGATATTTGATGCTGTTTATGGCTATTGTAAAGGGTGATGTTTCTCTGATTTCTTCCTCAGCCACTTTATCATCTGTATATAGTAGGGCCACTAATTTTTTTTAATTAACCTTGTATCCTGCCACTTTCCTAAAGGTGTTTATCAGCTCTAGGAGTTCCCTTGAGGAGCTTTTTGGGTCACTTATGTAAACTATCATATCATCTGCAAATAGTGAAAGCTTGACTTCTTCTTTTCCTATTTGTAGCTTCTTGATCTCCTTTCATTGTCTTATTGCTCTAGCTAGAACTTCAAGTACAATACTGAAGAGATAAGGAGAGAGTGGACAACCTTGTCTTGTTCCTGATTTTAGAGGAATTGCTTTGAGTTTTTCTCCATTTAATTTGATGTTAGCTGTTGGTTTAATTTATATTGCTTTTATTATGTTCAGGTATGTTCCTGTTATCTCTGATCTCTCTAGGACCATTATCATGAAGGGATGCTGGATTTTGTCAAAGGCTTTTTCAGCATCTAGTGAGATGATCATGTGGTTTTTCTTTCGCAGTTTGTTTATATGTTGGATTACATTGATAGATTTTCTAATGTTGAACCATCCCTGCATTCCTAGGATGAAGCCTACTTGATCATGGTGGATAATGTTTCTGATGTCTTCTTGACATCAGTATTTTATTGAGTATTTTTCCATCGATGTTCATGAGGGAAATTGGTCTATAGTTCTCTTTCTTAGTTGTGTCTTTGTGTGGCTTGGGTATCAAGGTAATTGTAGCCTCGTAGAAAGAGTTTGGCAGTGAGCCTCCTGCTTCTGTTGTGTTTGTCTATTTTGTGGATTTTCTCAAAGAACCAACTCGTTGTTTCATTGATTCTTCTCAATGTTTCCCTGGTTTCTATTTGGTCGATTTCAGCCCTCAATTTGATTATTTCCTGGTGTCTGCTCCTCCTGGGGGAGTTTGCTTCTTTTTGTTCTAGAACATTCAGCTGTGCTATTAATTCTCTAGTGTGACTGTTCTCCAGTTTCTTCATGTGGGCACTTAGTGCTATGAACTTTCCTCTCAGCACTGCTTTCAGAGTGTCCCGTAAGTTTGAGTATGTTGTGTCTTCATTTTCATTGAATTCCAGAAGACTTTAATTTCTTTTTTTATTTCTTCCTTTATCCAGGGATGGTGCAATTGTGCATTGTTCAATTTCCATGAGTTTGTAGGATTTCTGCGATTTGTGTTATTGAATTCTAATTTTAATGTATGGTGGTCTGATAAGATACAGGGGGTTATTCCAATTTTTCTGTATCTGTGGAGATTTGCTATGTTTCCTATTATGTGGTCAATTTTAGAGAAGGTTCCATGTGGCACCGAGAAGAAGGTATATCCCTTTGTATTTGGGTGGAATGTTCTACAGATGTCTGTTAAACCCAGTTGGGTCATAACTTCTATTAGTTTCTTTGTTAAGTTTCTGTCTGGAGGTCCTGTCTAGCAGTGAGAGTGGAGTGCTGAAGTCTCCTCCTATTAGTGTGTGAGATTTTATGTGGGATTTGAGCTTTAGTAATGTTTCTTTCACGAATGTAGGTGCCTATGTATTTGGGGCATAGATGTTTAAAATTGAGACTTCATCTTGATGGACTTTTCCTTTGATGAATATGAAATAGCCTTCTTCATTTCTTTTGATTGATTTTAATTTGAAGTCTAGTTTTTTAGGTATTAGGATTGCTACACCCGCTTGTTTCTTGGGTCTGTTTAATTGGAAAATCTTTTCCCAACCCTTTACTCTCAGGTAACGTCTGTCTTTGATGATGAGGTGTGTTTCTTGTATGCAGCAGAATGATGGGTTCTGTTTTGTATCCATTCTGCTAGTCTGTGTCTTTTTATAGGTAAGTTGAGGCCGTTGACATTGAGGGATATTAATGACCATTGATTGATGATTCTTGTTTGTGCTTGATTTATTCGTAGTGGAGTTATTTTTTGTAGTTTCTCTTCCCTTTTACTTTTGGTGTTTGGTAAAGTGGTATTAACTATTGCCTGTGTCTTTGTGAGTGTAGTTATCTTCCTTGGGCCTAGGTTGTCCTTCTAGCACTTTCTGTAGAGCTGGATTCATGGATACGTTTTGCTTAAATCTGGCTTTCTCATGGAATATTTTCTTTTCTCTATCTATGGTAATTGAAAGCTTTTTTGGATATAGTAGTCTGGGCAGGCATCCTTGTTCCCTTAGTGTTTGTGGGTCATCTGTCCAGGATCTTCTGGCTTTCATTGTTTCCATTGAGAAGTCAGGTGTAATTCGGATAGGTCTGCCTTTATATGTTACTTGGACTTTTTCTTTAGCTGCTCTTAATATTTTCTCTTTATTCTGTAGGTTTGATGTTTTGACTATTATATGGCAAGGTGACTTCTTTTTCTGGTCCAGCCTATTTGGTGTTCTGTAAGATTCTTGTATTTCCATAGGCATATCCTTCTTTAGGTTAGGGAAGTTTTCTTCTATGATTCTGTTGAATATGTTTTCTGTACCTTTGAGCTGTATTTCTTTGCCTTCTTTTATACCTATTATTCTCAGGTTTGGCTTCTTCATGGTGTCCCACATTTCCTGGATATTTTGTGTTAGGGATTTGTTGGTTTTTAGATTTTCTTTGGTTGACGACTCTATATCCTCTAATGAGTCTTCAACACCTGAGATTCTCTCTTCCATCTCTTGTATTCTATTGGTGATATTTGCATCTGTAGTTCCTGATCATTTACCCAGGTTTTCTATTTCCAGCATCCCCTCGTTCTGTGTTTTCTTTATTTTTTCTACTTCAACTTTCAATCCTTCAACTGTTTGAGTTGTTTCTTTCATTTGTTTGGTTGTCTATTCTTGGTACTCTTTAGATTCTTTGAGAGATTTGTTTATTTCTTGAATTTTCCCATTTCATGGATTTTTTGTTTGTTTTTTCTTCTATTTCTTTAAGGGATTTCCTTGTTTCCTCTTTGAGGGTCTCTATCATCTTCATAAAATAATTTTTAAGGTCTGTCTCCTCTGCTTCATCCATGTAGTTCTTTTCAGGTCTTGCTAGCGTTGGTTCTCTAGATTCTGGTGGAGACATATTGGTCTTTCTATCGCTGAGTGAGGTCTTATTCTGTCTTCTTCCCATCTCTTATTCCACTGGGTGCAGGTAGGTTCTTTCCATCTCCATTGGTCTCCTTCCTTCCAGAAGATGAATCTAGGGACACTGACACTGAAGCTGAAGCTGGGGTCACCAGAGCTTGGGGCCTGGAAGAGCTGAATCTGGGATCACCGGAGGGTGGGGCCTGGAAGGGCTGATGTCTTTCCTGTGTGGGCAGGTCTTCTAGATGCCAGGAGTGGCCCCCAGAAGATCTAGGGGATGGGTGTTGGGCGGAGGATGGGGAGTGTCCTCCCGGAGACCCAAGCTCACCTGAAGCTGGGGTTGCCGGAGGTTCACTTGATAACTGTTTTGTCATATATAATTTCGCTAAATTAAATTTAAAACCTTCCTTTTATTTAGACAGAAAAGAGATGGTGGGGGATGTCCTTCTCTATGCTGTGACTATGTTTCTCTCATTTTTTTAAATAAAGCTGTTTCAGCCAATTAACAGGAAAAAATCAGCTAGGTGCGAATTCCAAAAAAAAAAGAGGCAGGGAAAAGAAAGACTAAAGAGAGACACAATGTACCAACCAGGGAGTCAAGATGCAAGTACATCACTGGTAAGCCAAGGTCACATGGAGATGCACTTAGTAATAGAAATGGGTTAATAATTAAGAGAGAGCTAGCCAGTAAGGAGCCTAAGCCACTGGCAAAACAACTGTAACTGATATTAAATCTCAGAGTGGTTAGTTCATTAAGCAATTGTGGGACCCTGTGGGCAGAGAGAAAACTGGTCCAGCAGGACTGAGATAGATGGAGAAATCTCCTTCTACAGGGGTCTTTGAGGTCTCCTATGCTTAAGGTACTCCCAGTCTTCTTCCTTTTGCCTACATAGCAACATGCAGCAGCTCCTTCTCCAACACCCTGTCTGCCTATATACCACCATGCCCCCACCATGATGATAATGGACCGAACCTCTGGAACTGTAAGAGAGCCACCCCAATTAAATGTATTCACCTTTACTGTTTCATAAGGTTTAAACTCACAGTCCAATCTCCCTGTACACACTTTTTTAACAATTAGTGAAGAGCAGACCTGGTGGTAACAACAACCTCAAACTTTACTGGCAGTGTCTTGCCAGTAATGAATAGCTTTTGCTATTAAATGCTTTTTACATTTATTGATTTATTTCATATGTAGAAGTGGGTGAATGTACATGCACATGCTATGGCACACATGTGGAAGTCAGAAGACAACTTGCAGTTGTCAGTGCTCTCCCATGATGTGGTTTATAGGGATCAAATTCAGATAATTAGGATTAGCAACAGGCACCCGCCCCCCCCCACACACATACACTGAGTCGTCTGACTAGCCCTTGCTTTTATTTTTTCTTAATATTTAGGTTTAATTTTACCTGAGTGTATCTCTGTGTGGATATGTACATATAAGTACATGTGCCTATAGAGGCCCGAAAGGAGCATTGACTTTCCATGGAGCTAAAGTTACAGACAGTTGTGAGTTTCCTTATATGGGTGCTGAAAGTGGAATTTGGGTTCTGACTGAGCTGTCTTTCCATACCTCTTTTTGTTCTGTTTCTCTAAAACAATGGCTTTAATTTTCTTATCAAGTTTGCTGATTCTTTTGCTTTACTTGTATTTGTTTGTTATTATTGCTAGTGCATTTTGTATTTGTTATTGTACTTGATTGTTTATGTTGCTTCTATATAATTTCTGGCTCTGACTTATTAATATTCTCAAATTTTTCTCATATATTTTAATGTTTTGCCATCATATTTCTTTGGATATCTATGCATTCTTAACAGTTTTTTAAAAAAATATTTATCCATAAACAGGCCCAGAGCACACCAGGCAGAACAGGTGAGTGACTTTGCTGCCAGCATAACTGCACCTCTCCCTGGGTTCTGTCCCCTGGAACACTTCCCATAGGCCCATAAGATCTGACACCATCCCTGGTCCCTCTGTTGGGCCCTCTCTCCAACCCCCTGAAGACTTCTACCAAGCATACCCAGACCATACAAGCCAGAATAGTGAGTGATTTACCTGCCAGTGGAACTGTACCACTCCATGAGTTTTGTGCCTGATTAGCCTTCCCTAAGCCAATACCATCCCAGTTCATCCCTGACTCTTCTCCTTCTGGGCCCTGCCCCTAACCACATAAGACTTTCAGCACTGAGGAAAAGAGCACACCAGCCACAACTTGTAAGTGACCTTCTTGTCCTGTTGCCTATCCCATCTCAGCACCAACACCACTGTTAGGCCCTACCCCAACTCCTGAGGAATCCCACTCCTCTGGTGCAGCCCTCATGAGTCAACCAGCAGGTTGACACACCTGCCTGCTAGACTGCTGCCACCCACTGAATTCTGCTTCCCAAGACCTATACAAACCCTAGTCTCTCCCAGTTCATCATCCTCCCCATGGATAGACTTTTGCTGGAACTCTAGAAGACTCTGTATGCCAAGGTAGAGTCAACATCAGTCAGAAGAACAGTACTGGCTACCAGAGGACAGGATGACCTTACGTACCCCAGAAGATGTTTCAGGCTTTACTGGAGAAAAGAATGAATCTAGAGACCATAGAAAACTTTGACTTTACTGGAGGTCAGACCAAATCAAGGTACCCAAGTCTTCCAAAACCCCAGCAGAGATATCTATCCTACTGGACTCGAATACTCACACATTACCAGAAACCTTGGCCAGTTAGACCAGAAGACAAGAAAGAAACAGAAATGAAAGAACAGAACACCCCACCACAAAGACAAACACAGATCATTCCAAACAAAGATGCTTAAATGTCAACATCAGAAAGGGCAACATGGCACAGCTAGAGCCCAGCCATCACACAACAGCAAGACCTCAATAATTCAGCACAGATGAAGCAGAAGAAAATGAACTTAAACCCAACTTTATGAAGATGATAAAGTTTCTTAGATAGGAAAGGAAAAAATCCCTTTAAAATTTAAGGAAAAGGCAAACAAAAAATGGAGGAAATCAGTAAATCTCTTTAAGAATGCCAAGAAAAGAAAGAAAAATCAGTTTGTGGAAATAATTAAAGCTGTTCAAAATGGATATAGATGCAATAAAGAAAACACAAACTCAAGGAATTATAGGAATGGTAAATCTGATTAAGTGAATAGGTCTATAAGATGCAAACTTTACCACAGAATACAAGATATAGAAGGGGAATTTCAGGTATTGAAGATCTGACAGAGGAAATACATTCATTGGTCAAAGGAAATGTTAAATGTAAAAATTCCTAACACAAAATATCTAGCATATCTGAGACATTATGAAAAGACCAAACCTAAGAATAACACGAATGAATAGAAGGAAAAGCATCCCTGCTCAAAGGTCCAGAAAATATATTTGACAAAATGATAGAAGAAAATTTTCCCAAAATAACAAAAGACATACCTGTAAAGTTACAAGAAGCTTATAGAATACTAAATAGATTGAACCAGAAAAAATTCCCTCACCACATAATAATCAAAGCACAAAATATAAAGAATATTAAAAGCTGAAAGGAAGAAGGCTAAGTAATAAGGCAGATCTATCAGAATTACACTTGTTTTCTCATGAAGACTCTGAAAGCCATAAGAGCCTAGACAGACATCTTGAAGAGTCCAAGGAACCATGGATGACATAGCCTACACTACTCTACCTAGCAAAATTTTCTATCATCATAGATTGGGGAAAACAAGATATTTCATGACAAATTCAAATTTAGTCATAATCTATCCACAAATATAGCCCTACAGAAAGGCACTAGATGGAAAACTCCAACCAAAAGAAGTCTGTTACACCCACAAAGACACAGGCAATAAATAACCCCGTACCAGAAAAACCCAGAAAAGGGAAACATACACACACAAACACACACACACACTCATACACACACGCACACACCACCACCATCACTAACACAACCACCACCAATACAACTACCACCACCAACAAAATAATAAGAATTAACAATCAGTGGTCATGAATATCGTTGTCAATGGATTCATTTACCCAATTAAAAGACACAGAATAACAAAATGAATATGAAAACAGGGTCCATCCTTCTGTTGCATGCAAAGAAACACGCCTCATCTTCAAGAAAGGAACATTATTCTTCAGAATAAAGGGTTGGGCAAAGATTTTCCAACCAAAGAGATCTAAGAAGCAACATATTGTAGTTACCTTCATATCTAACAAAATAGATATCGCCGGGTGCAGTAGCGCAAGCCTGTAGTCCCAGCTACTCGGGAGTCTGAGACAGGAGGATCGCTTGAGTCCAGGAGTTCTGGGCTGTAGTGCGCTATGCCGATCGGGTGTCCGCACTAAGTTCGGCATCAATATGGTGACCTCCTGGGAGCGGGGGGTCACCAGGTTGCCTAAGGAGGGGTGAACCGGCCCAGGTCGGAAACGGAGCAGGTCAACAAAATAGATATCAAACAAAAAGTAATCAAAATTGATGGAGAAGGACATTCTGTATTCATCACAGGACAAACCCACCAAGATGATGTCTCAGTTTTGAGCATATATACCCTCCTAAACAAGTACATTCACATTTGTAAAATAAACATTACTAAACCTTAAATTGCATGTCAAACACTACCCATTAATAGTGAGAGACTTCTACCAATTCTTATCAATGGATAGGTCATAAAGACAGAAACTAAACAGAAATAACATAACTAACAGACTTTATTACTCAAATATAACTAACAGATGTCTACAGAACATTTTACCCCCAAACCAAAGAATATACCTTCTTCTCAGCACATCATGGAACCTTCTCAAAAACGGATCACATTTTTAGTCACAAAGCAAGTCTTTTTTATTTTTTTCCATTTCTTATTTGATTTCATTTTATATTCCCTTCTCCCTCCCACTCCCCATGTCTCCTCCCACACTCCTCATCTCCCCAGTAGCCCACCTCCAGTCCACTTCTCTTCACAGGTAAGGGCTCCCATGAGGAGTCAACATAGTCTGGCTCATTAGGTTAGGGCAGGGCCCAGTCCCTCTCCCATGCATTAAGACTGAACATGGCATCCCACCATAGGGAATGGGCTCCTACAAGTAAGCTCATATACCGGGTTCATATCATGGTCCTACTGCCAGGGCCCCCCTCTTATAGTCCAAGCTTCACAACTGTTTTCCGCTTATGGAGGGTTTAGTTCAGTCCCCCGGAGTCTCCACAGCTAGCAGTCTACATACAGTTCATGAGTTTCCATGAACTTGGTTCAGCTTTCTCTGTTGATTTCTCCATCATGATCTTGACCTCCCTTGCTCATATGTTCACTCCTTCCTCTCTTTGCCTGGATTCCTGGAGCTCAGCCTGGTTCTTAGTTGTGGATCTCTGTATCTGCTTCCATCACAATGAAAGTCTTAACAGATCCAAAAAATTGGAATAACCCCCTGTATTTTGTATCGCCATGGATTACAGTTGGAGTTCAACAGCAACACAGACTAAAGAAATCCTACAAACTCATGGAAACTGAAGAACTTTTAATTGAATTACCACTGGGTCAATGAAGAAATAATAAAAGAAATTAAAGACTTCCTAGATTTCAATGAAAATGAATGAAATACTTACCCAAACCTATGAAACACATGAAATCAGGACTAAGGAAAGTTCATAGAACTAAGTGCCTGCATAAAATATTTGGAGAAATCTCAAACTAGTTATTTAACAGCACACCTGAAATCTCTAGAACAAAAAGAAGGGAACACACCCAAAAGGTGTAGATTGAAGGAAATAATTAAACTCAGGGCTGAAATCAATAAAATAGAAGCAAATAGAGAAATATATATGTATATATTTCTTTGAGAAAATAAACAAGATAAACAAACTCTTATCCAAACTAAAAGACAGAGAGAGACTATCCCAACTGATGAAATCAGAAACAAAAAGGGGAACATAGCAACAGACACTGAGGAAATCCAAACAATCATTAGGTCATATTTCAAAACCTGTATTCCACAAAATTAGAAACTCTAAAAAATAAACAAATTGTTTTGATATATACCACACACCAAAATTAAATCAAGATCAGATAAATGATTCAAATCAGCCAGTAACACCTAAGGAAATAAAAGCAGCCATCAAAAGTCTCCCAACCAAACAGAGTCCAGGGCCAGATGGTTTCAGCTCAGAAATCTACCAGACTTTAAAAGAATAGTACTCTGAAAATTAGTTCACAAAACATAAAGAGAAGGAACATTACCAAACTCTCTTGATGAGGCCACAGTTACCCTGATACCTAAACTACACAAACTCAACAAAGAAAATTACAGAGCAGTCTCTCTCATGAACACTGATGCAAAAATGCACAATAAAATACTGAGAAACAGAATCCAAGAACACGAGAAAGTCATTCACCATGATCAAGTGGGGTTCATCCCAGACTTTTGAGCATGGCTTAACATATGAAAATCTGACAATATACTCCTTATTTAAAAAACTAAAAGAGAATGACCATGTGGTCATTTAATTTGATGCTGAAAAGCCTTTGACAAAGTTCAACACCCCTTCAAGATAAAAATCTTGGAGAGATCATGGATACAAAGAATATAACTAAATACAATTAAAGCAATCTACAGTAAGCCAACAGCCAACATCAAATTAAATGGAGAGAAACTCACAACAATTTCACAAAAATGAGGAACAAGATAAGGCTGTCTACTGTATATCTACTCAATATCATACTCAAAGTTTTAGCTAGAGCAATAAGACAACAAAAGAGATCAAGGAAATATAAATTGTAAAAGAAGAAGTCAAAGTATCACCATTCCCATATGACATGATAGTATAAGTAAGGAGCCCAAAAACTCTACCAGGAAACACCTATAGCTGATAAACAACTTTAGTGAAGTGACTGAATCCAAGATTATCTCAAAAAAGTCAATAGCCCTCTTATACTAAAAGGGATCAGAAAGAAATCAGGGAAAAAGCACCCTTTACAATAGCAACACACAATACAAAATATGTTGGGGGTAACACTAGTCAAGCAAGTGAAAGTCTTTTATAACAAGAACTTCAAATATTTGAAGAAAGAAATAGGAGAAAACACCAGAAGATGGGAAGATCTCCTATGCTTATAGGTTGGTAGGATTAACAGTAAAAGTATCATTTTACCAAAATAAACCTACAGATTCATCACAGTCCCCATAAATATTTCAACACATTTCTTTTTAACTGAGATCGAAAATTAACAAATGGGACCTCCTGAAACTAAAAAGCTTCTGTAAGGCAAAAGACACAGTCAACAAAACAAAAAGACAGTCCACAGAATGGGAAAAGATATTCACTAACCCCACATCTGACAGAGGGCTAATCTCCAAAATTTACAAAGAACTCAAGAAGCAAGTCTCCAAAACACCAAAGGATCCAATTAAAAGGTGGGGTACAGAACTAAATAGAGAATTCTCAATAGAGGAGGCTAAAATGGCCAAGAGACACTTAAGAAGGTGCTCAACATCCTTAGCCATCAGGGAAATGCAAATCAAAACAACTCTGAGATACCATCTTACTCCTGTCAGAATGGCTAAAATCAAAAACACCGAAGACAATTTATGCTGGAGAGGATGTGGAGAGAGAGGAACACTCGTCCACTGCTGGTGGGAATGCCAACTCATACAGCCACTTTGGAAATCAGTATGGTGATTCCTCAGGAAAATGGGAATTAATCTACCACAAGACCCAGCAATTCCACTCTTAGGCATATATCCAAATGAGGCAAATTCATACAACAAGGGCATCTGCTCCACTATGTTCATAGCAGCATTATTTGTAATAGCCAGAACCTGGAAGCAACTGAAGAGTGGATAGAGAAAATGTGGTACATTTACACAATGGAGTATTACTCAGCAGAAAAAAACAATGGAATCTTGAAATTTGCAGGTAAATGGATAGCACTGGAAGAAACCATCCTGAGTGAGGTAACCCAGTCACAAAAAAGACAAACATGGTATGTACTCACTCATATATGGATTTTAGACATGGATCAGGAGAGTGCCAGTCTGCACTTCCACTGATAGAGAGTCTTGGAAACAGGAAAGAACCTAAAAGATATGCATATATGCATAGTACCCAAGAGAAGAGGATGGAGACAAGATCCTCTGAATGGATAGGGAACACAGTGAGGGGTGGGGGGAGTGGGAGCTGGGAAGAAGAGAGGGGGAGAAGAGGAAGAGAGAGTAGGTCATGGGGGAACAGGAAGATTGACTGGGGGTGTAGAATAGGGGGAAGAGGGAATCATAGGTTAGAAGACAGATCGGGCACCAGAGTGACCTCTAGTGATCTAAAGGGATAACACCAATTGGCAAGCTAAGCAATAGTGGAGAGACCACCTCGAATGCCCATTCCTGATAATGAACTTGATGTCTACAACCATCCTGGAGCCTTCATCCTGTGACTGATGGAAGCAGAGGCAAACACCCACAATTAAGCACTGAACTGAATCCAAGGAACCCAGTGACAGAGAGAGAGGAGTGATGAGCAAATTGGCAAAGAATGGGCTGGCAAAACCAGCAGAGACAGCTGATCTGAACAGGGGAGAGCTCTTGGACCCCAGACTGGCAGTGGGGAGGCCAGCATGGGACTGATCTGGAACCCCCCTGAATGTGAGTGTCAGTGAGAAGGCCTGGGCAACCTATGGGGCCCTGAGCAGTGGATCAATGTCTATCCCTGGAATACAAACAGTCATTTTGTGCCCATAGCACAAAGAGGGATGCTTTCTCAGCCTGGACTCTTAGGGGAGTGCCTGGACCCTACCCTGAGTGAAATGACAGACTCTAGATATCCCCTATGTGGAAGGAATTGGCAATAGGGTGAGAAGCTGGGGGGGATGGGGGAGTGCGGGAGGAGGGGAGGGAGAGGGAACTGGGATTGACATGTAAAACAAGCTATTTAAAATTAAAAAAATAAAAAAATTGGTTTTCATTTTACACACCAACCCCAGTTTCCCTTCCCTCCCCTTCTCTGGTCCTCCCACCTCCACCCTTCCCACCTCCCCATCCACTCATCAGAGAGGGTAAGGTCTTCCTTGGAGAGTCAAAAAAGTCCGACATACCAAGTTGAGGCAGGACCAAGACCCTCCCAACTGTATCAAGGCTAAGCAAGGCATCCCGCCATATGGAATTGACTCTAAAAAAAAATCCAGTTCATGCACCTGGTATAGACCCTGGTGTCACTGCCAGCCCCCTCCCCAACAATCAAGTTACATAATTGTCATCCACATTCAGAGGGCCTAGTTCTGTCCCATGTAGGTTCCCCAATGGATATAAATGGAATTCTTCCCTTTCCATTTATATCCCCCTTGAACTCCTTTTGTTGCCCCATTGCTCTAGCTAGAACTTTGAGACTATACTGAATATATATGGAGAGAGTGGACAGCCTTATCTTATTCTCAATTGTTTTAGTTT